ATAATACGGCCGCAATCAGTATTATTAAGGACCCGTGCAGTCACTCTTCTACTAAGCACATTGATATTAGACATCTTTTTACACGAGATAAACATGAAGATAAGCAAATCAGGGTTACTTATTGTAGCACCAATGATATGATAGCGGATGCCTTAACTAAACCCTTGAGTTAAAATCAGTTTGAAAAACTCCGATTTATGATGGGCGTTAAAGACCTTAAATAAGAGTTCCATAAATAAAGATTGCCATACGTAAGTAAGATTTGGCTTCAAAGATATGTTTACAAGATCAAAGTGGAATTTCAATTATTGGCAGCAAAGTCAGAAATGAAGTTAACAATAAAGGGCACATTTTAGTGTAAGGGTTTGGTAAAAGTACGGCTTTAGCCATAAACCTTAGTTTTACACGTCACCTAGCCCTCTAAAAGTAATTCTGACATGTCCGGGCTATCAGCCCCTTGCCCCAGAGTATATTTTACTCTTTTTAAGTTTAATTCTATCCTGACTCTCTAAATACCACCAAGTAAAGCACGAATGGTCAAAGACTGGAAATTCACGGGTACCGGATAACCGGACTTTCGCTTCGCAGTACCTCCAATGAGCCATTGGCGATCCGTTTAGGCGCAAAAAAGCCAGGACACGAGGGCCGCTGTGGCCTATGCCGGATCACTGTCGCCTGATGGGATACGGAGACGCTTGTGACCCCCCCCCCCCCCCCGAAGGGTAACGTCGGGACCTGCGCTTGACAGCAGCAAAATAGAGAGTGAGCAGCTCTCGCAAAAGTCGGAAACTTCAAATACATAAGCTAAGTTACTTTTTAATATGAAATAAAGTATTGCTTCTGATTTTGGGTTGCGAATTTAAGCTTGGGTATGTGCCCAGCATTCAAAGTTATACTAAATCCCAGTTCGGTAGTTTGATTTTGCTATTTTGGGCATGCTAAATCTGAGAGAGGTTGAAGTCGACTTCGAGAAGGATCTTTTGTGACAATAAGAAGAAAGTTTATGGCAACGCTGGCTTCTTTAGTGGGAGTGTTGCGACGCAATACCTTTGAGTTTGTATACTCGGTTTGTGCAATATGATAGGTTAAAAGGCAATCAAATAGTCTATTTGATTGGATAAATGTCAATAAGGGCAATGGCTGAAGGAAAGAGGCCAGCGTCCACCCAACTAAAGATAAGCCGAGGGATGTGGTGGAGAGGTGGCCCATGTGATGCCACCTCATATCCAAAACTGACGGCAACTACCAACTACGTGTGTAAGCAACAGCGGTGCAGGCCGCGCCGCGGCTCCCCTCGAGCGCAGCACAGCACAGCAAGTGAAGAGAGGGGCCGCTGCGCGGCCTGCACCACCCCACCTTCTAAGTCCTCGACTCGGCAAGACGCTCTGTCTTGGATACAACTAATCCGAGCAAGTGTTGCAAAGACCGTCAGCTATGTCCATTTTATGCATGCTTGGGTACAGTATATAATTGTAAAGTCGGCAGTCGGGCACTCCCATTTAGAATGCATGTATGCATGTGAACACGTTTTGCGAGCCGTCTTGCCACCGAGGTATATCAGCTCCCGCATGCGTCGGGTTATCGCTCATTCTCCACGTTTATCTTTTCTCTCGGCCGGAGTCCATTAAGCGGCGCGTACGCAATAAGCGCCTCGGCAAGTTATTCCAGGCTGCACGATCCTGTGCACATATTATTGATACAGGTCCGGTCTGTTTGCTATAAATAAAAGTGCTATATATAACTTAGTGTCTTGAGAGGGCGGTAGAACTCATCAATTAGCCAGAAGCATCCTTTAAGGTCAGCGAAAATGTCCGGCAAGCATGAGTTCTGCCCAGGAGAGAAGCGGATGATTGTGAACAGCTACGAGTATTTCAAAAGCCAGAAGGAACAAGGCCTCTTCAAAGGCATCATGACACGCAAACTGGTCTCTGATTGCCTTGGTTGTGCTCCCAACACCGTTGACTCCGTGGTTAATGAGAAAAAGAATAACCCAGACACTGATTTTGAGGTATATCAATTATAACTGATATTGTAGCACTTCCTTTTTAAACTAATATTTGTACGAAGCCCAGTGAAAACGACAGGGGTCGAAAGCGAGATTATGACCTGACGGATACCTTTATAATATTTTTCACCATCCTGCTGGCAGAATTGAATGATAAATCGACAAGGGCAATCTGCGACCGGGCGATGTGTCGTCTTTCTTTTTGACATATGATTTTGATTCTAGACCAATCATATCTGTGTATTTGGCGCACCTTTCCCCCGAAAATGACAGTGTTCTGAGAGGGCATTTTTAAACGACTGTAGCTCCAAAACGGCTGGGAATTGGCTAAAAATTACCACAAAATCGAAATCTAAACGCATGATTGCACCCTATATCTAAATGTCGATATAGGTTTTCCTAAATGTAGACCTCTTATGCCTCTCTAGATTCTGGCCCAATGTTCAATGTCGCCTACAATACAGGTCCGGTGCACGTTGATTCGACGGTTGAAGGCGGTGTCCTGCGGAGAGTCGGTTACCGACTTGGTATTACATGTACCGGTTTCCCCCTGTCCTAAGCGAGCGGCCGTGTGTTGTACACAAAATTAGTAGCTAAAACTTAAGATTTAGGTAAATTCACTGATACTTAAGTTGTTTATTTTAGCCAATAAAAAAGTGGACACGGCGGAATTCGAACCCGCGTCCAGTATTCTCGTGATCAAACCAACTGCCACATCCAGCAGCTAACCGGAATAGTTTGTTGAGCATCCGAGGTGACGGTCCCGGCCTACTTCAACGACTCGCAGCGTCAGGCGACTAAATATGCTGAAGCTATTGCTGGTTTGAACGTGCTGCGTATCATTAATGAGCCGACGGCTGCTGCGATCGCCTATAGGCTCGACAAGAAAGGAGGCGAGCACAACGTGCTGATCTTCGATCTCGGAGGCGGCACGTTCGACGTCTCACTGCTAACTATTGAAGACGGGATCTTCGAGGTCAAGGCGACGGCGGGTGACACGCACTTGGGCGGTGAGGACTTCGACAACCGTCTGGTCGAGTTCTTCGTGACCGAGTTCAAGCGTAAGCACCGCAAGGATATGACGTCGAACCAGCGAGCTCTGCGTCGTCTTCGTACGGCGTGCGAACGCGCCAAGCGGACGCTGTCCACTTCGGCGCGGGCGTACATCGAGAGCATAGTCTCAGCAATACGAGTAAACCTCTTTGGCCTTCTGCCTGTTCCAGATGAGCGTGGCCTCCCCATGGTGTGTTCGGCATGGGACAAAGTCAAATGTGTGGCAGGAACAGTCTCATAATTAACAGAGTATTTTTAGCTGCGGACATAATTCCTAAATGAAGAAATGTGATTAGCTAAAATAAAAATTCGCTTAGGACAAAACTTCGCTTAGGACAGCGGTAATAGCGTTTGTCGCTGTCTGCCTTTCCATTTAGGATACAGCTCGTAAATTATGCTTACGTTGCTAGGTGATTACATATTCTGCACAGTAATCACATTATTAATAGTAATACTGCACGCATCTGTGATTATTCATACAGTATCCATATGAGCGCTTCGGTGGTAATCCCTACTCGTGGAATACCCTCCGACAAGAATAAACTACCGGCTTAGTCTTGCTCTTTCTCCGGTCCGAAAAGAATGTCATAGCAATGTGGTGGAATAAACATAGGTTTATAACGTGCTTCAAATTGACCAAACCGGGTGTAAAATCAGCTATCAACCAATCAAAACCATCATTAAAATTCATGTTTTCACACTATTTTGAAGTGCACATTCTCATTTCGGACTGGAGGTAGTACATGTAGTTTACAACTTATATAAGAAGAGATCTCACCCTTCCCTCGGACTATAAAAAAAATAATGTCAAAATAAATGACTGTTCTGAGGTGCTTAACTATGTGAAAGTCACTATTGTGCAGCACGTCCAAAGTGACACTTGCTGCTTGTACTTTTCCTTCCTACTTAGCTCAGACTCTCTGCTCTGCATCGTTTAAAGCCCCTGGACACTTCTATCCGCCACGCCCGCTGAATCAGCTCGAATAAGAAGCTTTGCAATCCACTTAATTTGCTCCTTAACATCCGCAGAATCGTGTTCTACAGTACATCATCATTCTCTGCTTACCACTCGCGGGAACGCCCTCCACTTTGTTTTCGGAGAAATCTTCATCAGTGGGGTCGTCGTATACGGTCTCATCTGGTGGATTCAGCGGCTCTGTCACCGTCAAGGCATGTAGGCGCGACAGCATTTTAGCTACATGTAGCTCGTCAAGTAAGGAGTCTTCCTCCTCTGGCTCACTGTATTCGCACGTATACAGTAGTAATCGAGTAGACCTGTGTGTTTCCAGCACTTAGCAAATATCGAGGGTGGCATGGAATTCCAGCAGATACCACCGCTTGGCGAACGTCAAACTTGTATAACTTGGTCGCTTTCGACATGTCCATCGCTCGGTCGGCTCGCTGGATCTGGTGACGCCGGTAACGCAGCTTGAACGCAGCATTTGTTCCAGCGTCAAGACCCTGTCGCTTACTACATGTACTGTAGTAGTATTTGACGGTAGGAACGCCACTTCGACATTTAAAATTGTACCAGCGTCGTAGCCCCCATGGACGCTATCATTGTCGACGATCAGCATAGCACTTGCGGTGCTGTGCTCTGAACTTTGTGCCAACGTCTTTGAGACACTTGGCAAAAATCGCCCGAGACATCCATGCCTTGGCGCTGTTCATGTTCTTTAAATGTTTCGCAGTATCCTTTTTAAACTTGGAGTACAATGAGAGATTGGCATGTAGTACCATTTCGAAGGTACACTTCGATCCACCCCACAACAAGAATACCCTTGGATAGAAATAACATGTTCGATACTATGACTACTGAAGGGCCCATCTAAACCAGATTGCCATTTGCCGACGAAAGCATCATTTAAAAGCGCACTTTTATTCGCTTTCTTTGTTTATTCCTCGTCTGTATGGTCCCCAGTATCCACACGCAACAATGCACTCACTGATGAATGCGACCCGAGCTGCACGCCTCGTATCCCTCCTCCTTGCCGCCAGAGCCGTCACTCTTAGCATACTGAGCCATGACACGATGCTTCGGAACTTGTAGGGACAGGAACAAGTACGCAGCAAGCTGCAGCACAATCGCAATCAGCGCAAGGGCCGCCACGTCATAGAAACGCTGCGTGTAGTCCATACCCAACGTCTTGATGTACACTTCTCCGTACACCGGAACCGCAGGGTACCCCGGAGCGTCAAACGACAAGATGATTCCTTCCAGTTCATTGGTCATGAGGATCTCGAACGCGTAGCCGAAAATCGACAAGTGTTTGAGCCAACCAACGGCGTCTGGCATCGTCTCGGAGTTAAGCAGGAAGCCTCCGAACAGTAGCATGATCAGCAGCACCACTGTAGCAGCGAGATTGGCAGAGCCCACACGTCTTGAGAGCACACCAACGAGCAGACAGATGGAGCCCGCCGCTACGTTAAACAGCACCAAAGTCAGCCAGAAGAGCAAGAAACGCTCAGCTGAAGCTTGCAGGGCCATGATCCAGTAGAAGATACAGGCAAAGATGGACGCAGGAAGCACTCGAAGCAGCAGCGAGTCGAGCGTCATTTTAGCTAAGAAATAACTGAAGGCGCCGTAGTACATGGCTCCAGTCTCGCGGAGGAAGATCGGACGTTCCGAGATGAATAAATCCATGGAACTCAAGCTTGCGAAGCCGAAGAACGTCAGAATGAAGTAGAAAGCGCCCATACGGTTCTGGAAGCCAGCGAGGTTGTCGGATACGTTGTTGAAGATCAACCCGCCGAATAGAGCGAGCACCAAGCTCAGTACAACATGCTGCACCAGCAAAGAGCGGTGGCGAAGGATGTTCTGCGCTGTACGAGTGAACAGCACGCGAATCTCAGTCATCGTGGACTGCAAGGAGGCCAGCGCACTGGTCGACTCTGAGCCATCTTCCAGCACGAATGGCGCTTCATACGCAGCACTGCCAACTGGCGTCTTAGGAGAAAACTCTTCCGGTTGAGTGGGGACTGTCACTCTATCGGGGG